GAACCACAATACCAATAAGTGATTAATAAAAGTCAAAAGACCAAAGAGGTCACCTTAATATCAAAAAAAAAAATAAATAAACTTTTAATAATACTATTAGACTAGTTGAAGTCTATGAAACACCATTATAGAAATAAGTAAATAAAATAGATAACAAGCTATATAGAAGAACATATTATCAACTAGGTTATTGAAATTGTTATAAGAAAAGAATATTAAAATATATTATATCAGATTATCTGGAGTAAAAGTCTAAAAAGTTCTATTAGTTCTAAGTTGCAGTTAGTAATAAATAATAAAAAAGATGTTAGAAAGATGAGTACTAGAGTTTTTGTAAACTTTATAAAAGTAAAAATAATGTAACATAGTGGTTAAACAGTAACTCTTGTGATTGCAGGTGTTAGATAACTATAATGTGTTACATAAAACTAAGTCAATATGAAACATAGCAGGCTTTAGTAAGCTTTTGTCAAATATAAAATAATTCTAAGGATACTAATAAGTATCAGGAGCTTGAATGGGTGATATTCTGAAGATGTTCTTGTAATACAAGAGAATTGCATATACAGAGGTTTTAAATAGGCAATACCCATAGTTGGATTGCAGATATGATATTTAGTGTAAAACCTGTATAGTAATGTATAGATGAACACTTAAATTAGGTATTAAAAGTGCATGTGTAGCTAGTTGTACCTCCAATATAAGGGAACCCCTAAAGGCACCTGTGTTCTACAAAAACTTTAACAAAAATATCACTCTCTAAAGATAGGAACTTTAACTTAAAAAAAAAAACAATGGCCTATTTATCAGTATTTATTTAATAATAATGATTTATTTATTTAACATTTATGTACTATTAATTATATACATACTGCATGCGTGAGTTTGTTTTTTTTTCTATGTGAATAATTTAATACTAATATTTTACTAAAATGAAATGTGTTACTACATAACATTATGAGTATTTAGACCACAATTTTTAAATTAAAATATCAATATTCAATCAATTTTAATAAAGTGCTGCAAGAGAAATCAAACCTTGGACTTTCAAATATTTTTGAAAAACTGAAGCCTTTGCAGCTCTCATTTAATTATGTATCAAGTCAGGGCTGAATCTAGCAAGTAAACTTAAATTCTCGAGTCTGAAATATAATGTGTTCCACTGTTAAAAATTTTTAAATTAAAATTTACTGTGCATCTACCGCACAATTTGAAACTTCTGTGTGGCAATAAAAACTACAAGTAACTGTTTGTACTATTTACAAAATATTAAATTTTCAGTGCGGCCTCTGCACATCATATATCTGTTCAAAAGAAAATGTGCACAAAAAAATTGTTTTTGCGTGCTGCGTACAGTCTGCACAGCGAAAAACACTGATTGTTTTTTTTTTTTAATTTAATATCTTCTATCCTTTAGGCAAATTTGCCTGAAAATTTCATGATTAAGTTATCAAATTATACTGGATTGTAGTCTAAATCATAGCTAAATTGACGGTGTAAGAATAATTTTTAAATATGCTTTTCTTTTTACTAAAAATAATTTCCAATATTATACGGTCAACTCGAATACATTTATTTTATTTCCAAAAATAATTCTGCTATTTTAGTTTAGTAAAATGCAAGTCATGAAAATATATAACACCGCATATAATACCTTCAATATCTAGATCAAAATACTCAGTATTTGGCACTGAATACAATGCCGCATGGTAGTTACCATAAGTACATATCAATACGGCAGAATCGTTATATAGCGTAATATCTATTGCAGATTTAATTTAGGTTTGTTTTTACTACCGATACATCTAAGAAAAACTTGAATAATTATACGTACGTATTTTACATAACACTAAAATAAGCCAATTATAAATTTTTGTAAGTTGTCTACTATTCATAACCAAGTTGGGACAGGTTTGTAAGTTATTTCTATAAATAATTTTAGGTGGATTTTTTTAAAACAATTTTTATAAATAAAAACTAAGAGCCGGACGGGCAGATCGCTTTTAAAATTCTATGGGCTAAAAAAGTTAAAAACATTCGAACTGGATTCAAATAGTTCTTCAGTTATCTAAGAATTAGGTGGGCTAGGCATAGGACCAAATATTTAGGATTTTGCAGACCAAAAACACAACTACATGAGTAATTCAAAATGCGTAAGAACACAATTATAACTTTTTTAAAAAAATAATGCAAAATATAGACTTACAAAAGATAAGGGAAATCAAACGGAACCACTCCTTAAAAGAGAGCGTCGTCGTACAATACTTGAATGCTTGTTTAAAACAACCTAACACAAAGTACAAAATATCTCCGCACAGTTTCATCCAGCCGATTCCTTGTTTTTTCTCAATTTGCATCCCAATCTCCCGTTCCAGCTCTTTGTAGAAAATCTCATGAATGTTTTTTCCAGAATTTTGTTGTTTTCGTATTTTGATTTGAACTACACTGGGAATTTCTAAACCATCTATTGGCACGATACCAGAAGAGATTAGTTCAGCTAGAGTATCGTAAAGGCGGTAGTGAATTAAAAGGGAAATTGTTGCTTCTAATGTATCTCTATTAATATCCTTAAAGTCAAGCTCAGGAAGGGATATTTTATGAGGTCTATTATATCTGAGGATTCTATCAAGCTTTTTACATCCACGGCAGTTTTCGTCTACATCAGAAAGCTCTCCTTCGAAAATATCATCTAATTCGTTATTGACCATTATAATATATAGGCCTTTTAAATTTAGAGTTGTGCGCAATTGGTATACGTACAATATTTATACGTATTGGTATTGTTAATGTGCCTCAAAGTGACTATTTTGGCCAACTAAGATCTAATTTCAGGGGCTTAAGTCAAGTGCAACTAACAACTGTCTAAGTTATTTTATTGACTGTAAATATGCAATCCGTAGATTCTGTTTATTTAATAGGTCATGATTGGCTAGTTACTAAATTTGTAAGAATTTTCAAGTTGATTAAAAAATTTTATCAGGAATTATCATAGATAATCTTGTAAAGTTTACCATTGTAAAGATTGAAGTTAATAAGTTTTATCATAATCAAGCTTCACATTGCCAAGTTCTCCCAGGGTCAAAGCTTTGACGCCTCATTTAAGTTTACTACTGTGTTAAAGTCTTATCTTGTTGGGTTTTGCTAATGTTAAATCAATGGACAATATTAGAACATAATCATCTTTTAATTTAAAAAGAAAAAATTCTTGATGCAAAGAATTGTTCACATAACGAAATTAGAGATTGTCCGTATAAGAATCACCCAGATGACCCGGATTCAAATTTCTGCAAATATTACATGTGCACCGCTCTAGAATAGCACCTCATAGTAAAACTTGGGTATATTTTTAAATCGTCTCTTGAAAATCTGGATGTAATTAGACTTGCAAAATTATTTTTGTCCATTAAAAGCGAACTTCTATCTAATGAATTCAAAATAATCCCTTCAATTGTATCCTTCTCACCTTCTACCTGCAAAAATCATTTACGTAGGCGTCAATGAAAATCAGTTTCTTATTCAAAATAAACCAATAAAAGACAAATAAAAGCACTACATAAATATAAAACTATCGAACTCACTAGAACGAATTGCATCAACCGAGGTAAATGGCCTCAATAGCTTAGTATTCAACAAGAAAAATTGAAACAGAAATTTTAACAGATCAAAGCTATTCTTGACCTATCACTACTAAAAAGTTTTTATTTTGCTTGCTCCCATTTTTAATAATATCAAGTGTTTTTCAAACCGATGAAAAATTTGATTCATATTTTAAGTCATTTCTTTCACTGTGAGAAGATCACTTTTTTCAAGTTTAACTGCTTACACGTAAATATATTATGTGAATATAATTTAATAAGCTACAAATTTTATTGAAAAACTGGGTTTTTTTTTTGTGTTCGGTTACACTAATGATGCCTCTCGAAACTCGAGAGCATCGATATCGAACTGTTTCGAAACTAGTTTCGACAAAATTTTATTTTTGAAACTTCTCGAACTCGAAACTCATATCGAAACTCGAAACTTGTATCGAAATTCGAAAATTGTAACATAAATTAAACATTTTAACAGAACCAGGTAAAGTTTTAAGTGCAACTACACATGATGTTGTACGTGATTGTGTAAGCTTACCAGAAGTATATGAAACTGTTCTTTTACCATCTAACCACATTACGGAAAATACAATGCCGAATCCTCCTTTACCAATTATTTGAATATTAACTAAACTATTAAAAAGGAATCCATTCGATTACATCTACATGTTTTGTAGCTTTAAGCTGAAATTCCTCAATGCACTCGTTGATATCCTTATTTCCACTTGCTCATCCTTGTATTGGCTTCTGAGGGATGCATATTTTGGCACCAAGCATAAGATGTGTTATATCGTTTGCAATTTGCACACGTATCGTATTCATAATCTCTTTTATACCTAAATTTATTAAATACCAACATATACTCAGTTATGACTGTGTTTTAGGTTAATCCATAAATACTTATATCCTCTAATTGATTCAATTGACTCATTAATTGCTATATTAAATATATAATAGTATATTGAACAAACTACATGTCTAATCTGATGTCTGATCTGATACTGATATAATAAAATAATATAAACTTTTAAATTATTTCATGCTTGTATCAATATTTTAATTTCCACTTTACATGATGGTAAACGTGACTGTATATATTTATATTTATTATTAACATATTCATAATTTACATAACTCATTCCATCTAACCACGTCGCTAAAAATCCATCACCATTCTTCTGAACATTAACAAAACTATTAAAAGGAATCCATTTGATTACATTTTCATATTTCGTAGCTTTAAGTTGAAATCCTTTAATGCAATTGTCAATATCCTTATTTCCACTTGTTCATCCTTGTATTGTCTTCTAAAGGTCACATGTTTGATACTAAGTAGGCAATTTGCACATGTTCCATTATCTTTTATTTCATTTAGAACCAAATTTGTCAAATACCAACATATATTCATTTTTTGCAATGTTTTGAGTTAAACTATAAATACTTCTATCTCCAATTGATTCATTAATTGCTATAGTAAATATACCAAGAAAGAATGTAAAGAGTATTTTGCTTTCGTTCCTGGTTTCTAGTGTGACTACGTCATGCAACTACCTTATTTTATATGTTGCACACCACCAGGTAAAAGATCATTATTATCACTTAATCAGAGACTTATACTTTATTGATGTGAATATGAAAAAACATATGGGGATAGGTTTGCCATCTTGAGGTTCTATATCGTGACAAACACATAAGACCAACTTAACTAAAGTACAGGTTTCTCCTAACTAATTACTATGAACTGTATAATGCACACGAGGTTCTATATCATAACAAATGCATAAGACTAATATAACTAAAGTACAAGTTCCCTTTAAATAATGTGTTATGAACCGTTTAACCATGTAATGCATGTGACTCATAGTTAAGAAGAGGATCAGGAAGGGCAATTGTATCATTGAGCTAAGATAAACTTGACTATACAACGAGGTATGTACAGGTCCTTGCACTGTTACTCAGCCGCAGAGCCTGGTACTGAGGTCCTTGCACCACTGAAGCAGGCGTGGAGCCTAACTCTGAGGTTCTTGCACTGTCAAAACAGACGCAGAGTCTAAAGCATGGGTCTTCGCACTGTCAGAGACAACCTTGAAGCCCTACTCGAGGTCCTTGCACTGCTAAAGCAGTTGTAGAGCCTCTTTCACTTGCCAAAAATTTGCTGCTTACTATTCATAATGCACATTGTACTAATGCTCTAGCATTAGGGAGGGAAAGTGTAAGAGACAGAGCCAGCCTTAACACAAGGCAAGTAATAGTGAAAAGAAAGATACACCCACAAATGACAATGTCATCCTTAAATAATCATGATATTTAACAAGGCATCTTTACGCCCTTCTATGACTTATTATAAAACTATCAGCAATAATAACACTATCCTAATAATCATATGTGAACAGGAATCTACTTCAAGAAACCTGAATAGAACTAGAGGCCCTTAACTAAACCATATTAGGAAATGTACATATGACCTAAGTCTCTGACCTTGCAATAATGAATACTTTGTCACTTTGTTAACAAGCTTCTCATTATTATCGCTCGATCAGAGACTTATACTTTATTGATGTGAATATGAAAAAACATATAAGAAATAAAAGAGAATTAATACTGTTAAAACTTCATTTTCCTTGAAAAACATAATTTTGCTATGCCAACAGATCTCAGGTACAGAATAACTAACTTACTGTTCCATCCTTCTATAGTGTGAATCTGTGTTAAGGTTATGCCTGCCTGCATTGCTGCTGTCATGCCTCTGATTCTAATACTATAAGCTGTAAATCTACCTTGCAAACCCGCATTCTTGGCAATTCTCTTAACAATGGCCCTTATAACCCTTACTGTTAACTGTGTACCACTTAGTAATAGGAAAAAAGGCTTATCATCTAATATTTTTTGGGTTAATCTTTAGTATAGATAGGCAAATTTGATTATTATATAATTATAATATATATAAATTAACTATTTTAAATTAATTTAAGTAAATTTATAAATAGTTAGGATCAGGGTTAGGGTTATAATACAAATTGGTTTAAATTAGATAGGTTTTATATATTATAATTTTGTAATAATTTATATATGCTCATCTATATTAAAGGAGATCTGTTTTTTGTCTAATTGCTATATATTTTTTTAACAATCTAACTGGACAATAATTATTTTCTAAAATTTCTACAGAGATAAATTTCCTATTGGCAAACTAGTCTGTTTTAGATAAACTTATACAAATTCAAACCAACTTCTTTTCAAACTTTATATCTTTTAGTTTTAAGTTACAAAGCTCATCAAAACATTGCATAGTTTTTAGACCAATAGCTACTAGTGCAGCATCTCATACTCAAAACTCTTTACTAATAAAATCTGATTTCTTGTTTACAAAAAACTTTAATGCAGTCACAGGTAAGGGATTACAGGGCCATTCTAGGTTTCTGGCTTTTCTATATACCTTTAATAATGTTCAATAAACTCTTTTAACTTTATACTTTTTTGAGAGGTCTAGTTGTTGGGTCTTTAAATGTGCTCTTAAAACTGCTGCTAACACATTTCTGCATCTTGAAAAAGATCAAGTAACATCTAACTAGACAACAAAAGATACCAATATATCAACCTCAGATGGTAATGCTTTCAGACTCATGACCTTACAGAAAGTATTGTAAACATTCTATGCTTTATCTAGTTATTGGTTTTAACTTCTTGATACTGCTTTTCTTCTCAGTACTTGTATTCTAGCCAACAGATTACTTATTAGCTTACTCTTACTGCAATGAACTGCCAACTCAGATTTCTCTATAGCTCTACTTTTTCTGAAACTTTCTTGATAAATGTAACTTGAACTGGTAGTAGAAACATTATCTCTACTTTCATATATATTAATATTGGTCACTATTTCACTAATACCCATCTGGGAACAATATAATTGCCACAGTCTTTTCCTCTTTTATATGTTGAAGAATATGATGCATTAAGGTTAGTGGAGGACAAATATAATTGTTTTCTTTTGACCAGCTTTAAGTAAAACAATTTACTCCTTCAGAATTGGGGCAATAAAATCTGTTATTGAATTATTTTAGTTCAGTGTTCTAATTGCCTACCATCTGATCTATAGAGTGGATCTTCATTTGTTTTCTAACATCATGAATATTAGCTAATCTAGGCATCAATCCTTATAGTCTATATATCTGGTTAGGAGGTCTATTAGGTTTAGCTCTAATGATATCCAAAAAACTTTACTAATCCAAATATCAAATTGTCTAACAATATTCACAGTCTTTTTAGCAGATTCTTTTGCCAAAATAAGTTTTTTAGTTTTAAAACTGTTTCTATTGTTCCTTGATTGTGTATATATAGATCGATCCAAAAATATTGAAGCATTCTTGTAAAAAATTTTATTCTTAGAATTACTGTCTCTAAAGGCCTGCAAATTGTCTATTTTTGAGGCCTGGCCTGGCCTACAATTAGGGTTAAAAATTTTTTTAGGCCTGGCTCAGCCCACATTTAGGGTTACTATTTTTTTGCCAGCTCAATCTGGCTTGCATATATTAAATTTTTTTTTTAGCCTAGCCTGGCTTACAAAAATTTCTTATATAATTTTACAAAATTTTAGGCTTATACTGACTCACAATTATAAAGTTTTGCAAATTTTTTGACTTAGCCTGACCTGCAATTATAAAATTTTGCTTTAGGCATGGCTTGGTTTGCAAAAATTTGTGGGCAAGACTGGGCCAGGCTGAGCTGCAGGACCTAATGCAGGCCTTTAACTGCTTCTGCCTTTAATCTTATAATTTCTTTGTATGATCTTTTCAAGTTCCAATTTCTGAATACACAAAGTTTCTCTAAAGTGACAGACTATCTGACTGTTGATATATCTACAAAGATCTGGTTTACTTTTGATAGTTTTCAGGCAGGATGTCATTCTGCTTTTTTAAGTTTTGAGCCACTTATCTGACATCTTCTTTTGCTTGATTTGTCAAATTTACTATTAAATATTTCTGTTTACTGCATCTATTATTATATAAAACTCTAGGTAATGCACTTTGGCATAAGCAAAGACTCTGCTTAAAGATTACATTTTTCCTACTATAGCTGCTAAGCTGTATTCTGCCATTCTTTCCTTTTTTGTAAGTTTTGATATCAATTCTCTTATTTCTGCATTTTTGAATCTGAAACTATTACTTGTACTTTTACAATATCAATTACTAATTTGAAAATCTTTATTTGTTATAATAACTTCTACTGCCCTTTTGAAGTCTTACTAACTCACATATCTTTAGATCTATTTTTATTATCTGATCTCTTATTCTTATCAAGGTATCCAATGAAGCATATGCAACCTAAAAATCATCTAAATAATTCTTACAAAACAGTTCTAGTAATCTATAGTAACTTATAATTGCTCTTATTATCTTAGAAAAAATCCATACAGCTTGTGACAACTCAAAGAAGAGAATTCTGTAATAATACCAACTTCCCAATACTCAGAAGTCAAGAAAATACTAAGCACTTTCCTTTATTATTATATGGTAGTAACCATCTATTAGGTCCTATGTAATTATGTATCCACTGTGGCCTACTGTATACAAAAGTTTTCCAAGATCCTCCAACTTTATTTCTTTTCAGATAATATAGTATTTAGGTATCTTAAATCTATAACCATTCTTCATTCTTGGGTTTTTTTTTGAGAACCAAAAAGACAGAACTTACTTTCAAAAGAAAGTTGAGTCTCTCTATTTGATTTTCTAAAAACTCTATTGCTGCAAACTTTAATAGATGATCTAATTCTTTTTACACCTATTTTTCTTGATCTCATGACAACATGTATTGTTTTAGAATTAGCTATGCTGTACGTAAAAGAACTTCTTTTAGGAATAATAGAGCCTACTCTTTAACCAGTTTATAATTACTGGAGATAGACCTATCTTGTTTTGCCAATAAACTAAAGCTTTTGCTAACTGCATCCTTCCTACTACTAATACCTGACTTTCTATCTTTTCTAAATTTGTTTTCGAATATTTCTCTAATAAGATAGTCTAAGTATGGTCAATCTGTATTTTATAGTTTAGAATAGGCTTTAAAATCTGAAAAGAAGCAGCTAAAGGTAATGTGTCCAATGTCTTCATAGTTGAAACAATTAAATATTTCTTTATATTCTGAAAAACTAAAGTCTCTCTGTTACAAAAGAACTAAGATCTTTTATTATATCTTCTTTTATTTCTATAGGTATCTTCTTCTCCTAAATTAGATAAAGATGAGAAAATTTTTTTTTCTTGACCCTATAACTATGTTGCTTATTATACTTATTCTAATTATAAATATGTAATACTGTACTTAACTGACTAAACAATAGTATATAATCTTTATATTTTTTATCATTTTATTACTATTTTCCACTATTTGCAAAGCTGTACTTCAACTTTTATTATTAGCCAACCTGAGTATTGCTGCTTAAGTCTTGATGTCATCTTGAATTCTATCAAATCCCTTTTTAAAAGAGATTAGTACAATTTTTATAGTTTTGTCCAGATGTTTACTGATCTTTATCAAAAAATTGTACTCATGTTAGTCATGTGGCTTTGACAAACTGATCTTGGGTTAGGCTTCATCTAGTAGATTGTCTTCTTCTATTTCTTTGTGTAAAAAAGAAAAATTTCTTTTAATCTTCTTCTCAATTTTACACATGGTTAACAAAAACATATCTACTATTATCTATTTGTTTTTTTCTCTTTTTTGAAAATGATTTTTCAATTTGTTTTTAACTCTATTGTTTTCTTTTTGTAAAAATATATCTATAATGACCCTTTCTAGGTCAATATTTTTTCTATTATCTTAATCTCTTTTATCAATATCAATTCTGGGTATCTCAATAATATTATCTAGTTCTTTATCCTCTACTACATTTTTGTTTGTAGTTCTTCCCTTGTCTTTTTCAAAATAGCTTGCAATCTATTATTTAATTTCTCTTTATTTCCTATGTTAGATAAGTTATATGATATACAAAGGTCTTTTAATTTGTTTAATAATACTTTAGTCCAGCTAATAGCTAATATTATATTGGAGTATAAATGATAGAACTAACTTTAACACAAGACAAGTAATAGTAAAAAGAAAAATATATCTACAAATAATAATATCATCTCTTAAATAATCATAATACTAAACAAGATATTCTTATACTTTTTTATGACTTACTATAAAACTATTAGCAATAATAGCACTATCTTAATAATCATATACAAACAAAAATCTATTTTCAGAAATCTGAATAGAACTAAAAACATCTTAATTAAACCATATTAGAAAATATACATATAATCTAAGTTTCTGACCTCATAATAATAAATACTCTGTCAGTTTATTGACAAGTTTCTCAGTCATATAATATCAACATTTTCTCTTATTGTATTAATATTAGAGTTAATATTTAAAAAAAAAATTATCTTAACTTTCATAACCTATATCTTAATAGATTTTGATACTATCTTGATAATTTAATTATCAAAAGAAAACTTTTAACCTAAGCTTTCTTTTGAATATTAAATTATCAAAATAGCATCAAAATACATTGAGATATAGATTATAAAAATTGAATATTTTTTTCAAATATTAATTTATCTTATTTCTATTGACAGCTATTTATATAATATAAAATTTTTGTTATTTTTATAGTAAAATCATACTATTTTTTGTTATAATTTTTTCACATGATATTGAATACATATAACAAGTATTTATTTAAAATCAAATAAATCTAATAAGACTAAAATCTATATAATCTAATACTTTATATTATGTAATTAAAGCTATATAAAATTTGATTTACTGAAACTTATATAAAATTACAAGTAATATAAGATTGTAATTTTAACACAACTCTAGTTAGTATTGCAACAGATAAACAGTGAGTCTGTCGCTCCAACGGACAAGACCTCGCATAACGTCACGAATCGGCGAAAATAAGGCTTCGAGGCGTGGGATAACGATTTGGCGAGTATCAGTTTTATTAGGATGACTTCGAACCTTTTTTCCCTCACTTGGGGCGTCCAAAAGATTAGTAACTTTATTAAAATTATGCTTTGATTTTTATACCATTTTACATTTACTAACAAATTCTATTTAATTTTAGCTTCCCTCCCTATTTTTTCACTATTCCGCCACTATATAATCATACTACTGCGGGTTTCACCTAAACCAGGTAAGTATTTGATTTCATTGGTTTTACTTTTAATTTATTTTATTATAACTATACTAACCCACCTTTTTACTACCTGGATCCCACCATTCTGAAACACCGTATTTATGACCTCACGCCATCCCCGATTTGGATACATTCGCTTGGATCGATTGTTTTGACGTTGGGGGCACGATTATGCACGTTTCACCATTATGGGGTCGATCGTGCATAATCGATCCTGGGTCCCGATCGGTGCTTGTGCAATGTATCGTGACGCACGAGCCATCATGAATTTTTTGCCTGCGACAGTATATTAAAAATAACAATGTATAAGACTTGACCTTCAATAATACTAACTTTAGTAAACACATTTAACTTTTAATAAACTTTTGAATTTTGATATTATTTTCAAATTTCAATACTACTTTCAAGTTTTGATAATACTTTAGAGTTTCAATACCACTTTTGAGTTTGATATTGATATTTTGATACTCTGAAATTTAGTAAAACAGTTCAATATACTAATATGTAGGAGAAATATTATTAAGTTATATTAAGTTAATTGTTTAAATTATAATTGTATAGTAACTAACAAAAGTAATGTCTGATTTTTGATCAAAAAATAAAAGTTTTATTTATATAATTTTAATTACAAATATATTAAATTTTTTTTTATATTTATTTAATATTTCACTGAATAACTTTCTACTCTTATAATAGTACTGATCCTTTATATTATTGAGTCTACAATAATACAAAGAACTGATATATCTAAATTTAATCATGTTTTCTATAAGACTGTTTTAAGATCAGATTTATTTCTTAAAAAATCATTACTGTTTTGAATATTAATCAAAACAAACCAATTAGTGCATTAATTTAGGGTAAAGGCCAGTGTTAAGATAGGTCAGGATTAAGTAATAATAAAACTAATTTTAATATCAAAATTTTGCAAGAAATTTTTTTTATTAGAACACGAAAAGTGGTTTCATAAGCAAAATTTTGAACTACAAGCGATTTTTAGAAAAATCAGTATTTTCTTTCGATTTCACGTTACACCTGATCTTACGATTTGATTGGTTGATCAGGTGAGTGCGTTACAACGCACATGCGCTAAATTACATAAACCTAAATAAAAAAAAGCATATAGAAAGTTTTATTTAACTTGATCAAAATTCCTTTTTGTTTTAGCGAAGTTAGTATTATAACAACTTCCTAAAATAGATCTAACTAGAGATTATTACCATGCTAACTTCTCTAAAACAAAAAGAAGTTTTACAACACAGTAAAACCTTCTATATGCTTTTTTTAATTTATTTATTGTAGTTTTATTTTTTTTTTTAAAAAAAAAAAAATACCTAAACTGTATAAATAATGTAAAAATAAATTGACTTAAAAAACCAATCATATAAAAATCGTCCTATAAATAATCAAGTGAAAACCAGAAAGTCTAAAAATAGAGTTCTTTATATATTATTTTCGAGCTCGGAAATCACAAGACTGATACTTTTTGTGACATGACTAATCTTCGTTATGCATTATCGTTATCCAACAAATCACAAAAAGTTACACTAGTTGGTTTTAGATTGTAAAATATTGATATAATTCTTTATTAATAAGCCATATATATACAATTTATTTTTGTCTATTTTAACCTGATCACCACTACCGCTATCGCCAATACGCGATGTTCTTTAATAACTATCAGTCTGTAATAGCGATAACGAAATCTGATTGTATTAGAATTAAACCTTAACATTTTTAATATTACCTTTAAATACGAGAATTTTTTTTGATTTGTTCAGAAAGTTTCAAAACGGGTTAAAAAAAAAATAAAGTTGCTAACGATCGTCATTAAAGATTGCTCAAATAAGTAAAATATACCGATGTTTGATAATAAAAAAAAAGAAACTTTATGTATTAAAACCTTATAAAGCAATTGGCGTGCATTAAACCAACCAACCGAGCACTCTCAATCTTCAATTATGGATATATTTATGTATTCAAATTACACCACATTTGATCCAACCCTGTTTTTCTGGTGGCCTCTTTTTAATATTTATTTCACTAAATTATCTTTTCATCATCGATATTAAAAAAAAATTTTCAAATAATAAAAAAATGCCATACCATTTACTTTCTGAAATTTGCAAAAACATTTAAATCTTATTTGACTTTGAACTCAATTATATTATAAGATTCATTATTTTTGTCTAAATTTCCATCGTAATTCATATTGATTTCAGTTTTACATGACATTTCTAAAAAATGTTATTCGAATCTACTAAGACATCATCACGACCTGCTTCGAACATTTCCGTAAATCAATTATCTCGAGTGATTCGTCGTCAACGACAAATACGATCTCATCGTCACAATTTGCTAAATCAAACGCTTGATAATTTTTATAATATTTTACGTCGTACTAAGTCGGATCAAACTGTTAAATCTGCGACAAGTTGGGTTAATGAATATGAAACGTTTAGGAAATCTGTTATACATGAAGAAATTAATAACAATAATTTTAACGCAATGAATTTTAATGATAAGTTAATCGTAAAAAGTCATGGGGATTCATAATCTAAATTAAATCTATAGAACTTTTCTTTGGCCTTTATTTTTTATATTGTAATGTAAATATTAAAAATCTAGTTTAGTTTTAGGTGGAGATCACTTTTATAATTGAACTCTTACCAACTTCTTTCCTTTTTTTTTTTTTACCATATTCTAATATTCAATCTTAAATCTGTGATTGTTAATATACATTTGAACTTTTAAAAAACTGTATAACGCTACCTATAGTACCCCATATCTAGAAGACGTCTAAGACTATATCCAGCCATATAATTTTAATATTTGACTAATTGGGTTAGTTTAACATGATGGTTAAAACTTATAGGTAAAAGCATCTCCCAAGACTTTTTTCACCAATGCATCGAGATAGGTTTAAATAGCTGTTCCTTGTATCTCTAATGTTTTAGGCTCTGCATCTTCGGGTTAAATAAAAAATTAACATGATTGGGCAAGAAAATTTTGATACTAGAAATGCCAAATTATTACTGAGGAAATAGGGACCGAGATAAAATTGCTATCTAAAATTAAGATTATATACTAAATTCGTATAACTTAAATAATTGATATTTTATTATATAATACATAACTAGAAAGAGTAATACGTATTTACAATTGTTCCAAGTGTATAAATTATGAGTTATTTAAAATATAATTGTCGCAATAACAGTTTAATAGGTAAAGAACTTTGTTATCACTTGGGATTCTCAATATTTTAATCTTTTTCATTGCAACAAGTATATGTTATTATTCACCGCGAATCAGATGATCGAATCATAACACTAACTCAAGGCAAAAGTTTACCTGATTAGTTAATAAATTCGATTTAATTTAGCATTATTTATAAAAACGAAAACTAATCATAATAAAAAAAAAAGCCGTATAAAAGGTTTCATCAGAGCTGTAGGACTCTATAGCCAAAAATAAGATCTAATTCTCGTCTGTTTAAAAAATTTAGTATAGTAATAACTTCTCAAAGCCAGATAGAATCAACTTATTACTAAGCTAATTGTTTTAAACGGACGAGAATTAGATTTTATTTTTGACTATATAGTTTTTTTTTTTTTTTATCGTTGTTGGTTTTCGTTTTTTAAAAGTACTCTAAACAGTATGAATAATGTAAAATTTAATTGAATTTATTAATCAATCAGACCTATGACACACTGGCTGCTTCGTGACCAGTGGCCATTCCGTTATTATTCGACCATCTGATTTGTGTCTAATTCCTAGTTATTATCCGCTTACGTGGATAATAACTAATTATTTCTAGGTTCTTATTATTCTTCTATACCATTTTTTAAAATTAAAGTTACATATTTTATAAAGTTTGGCTTAACTACGATTGCAAGACTTCTTTCATTTTCTTTCATTATTCTTTGGCAAACAATTGTTATTTTTAGTTAGCAAATCGAATAGTTTAAAGAATTTGGTACAACAATAAAAAGGTATAAAAAGGTATATAATCAAAAAGAAATATAAAATTCCGGATCAGTCAGAATCTAAGAACTGAGAAAAAAATAGTGTAGAAGTGCGGTTAAAAATCCATTTATTGGTAGGAAAGACAAGTGTTTTAAATCAATCTTATTGTTTTATAACAAGTATCACGTGACTTAAATATAATATGTTCAATAATTACAAAATATATATATATAGTGAGCAAATTTACAGAGAAACTTTCTACTTTGAATTTTACTTCATTATCTTACTATAAGAAAACTTCTTAATACTTACATTACAATATATTACAAGATCCAGAGCTTATTTAGTTAAATTATAGTTTAGCATATACTAATACATGCAATAATTATGATGTGATAATAGCAGATTGGTAATATGTTGTAGAATGTACTGTTTCAATAAATGCATCCCAGAGTCTGTTTTTGTTTACTTTATACCAAATAAATTTGAATAAATGTAATTTAATTAAATTTTTATTTTGATTTTGTGAGACTTGATACTATTTTACAAACCTTCTATAGTATTCATATATTTACCTATTTTGGAATCTACAGAATTTTTTAAATAATTAACAATTTTATATTTGAATCCTAGTTCATCAATATTCAGATACCTTTTCCAATAATTTTTATAAATAATAGATCTTTTTTTTATATATTTATCTAAAATATCTTTAATTATTTCTTTATTATATTTTTGTATTTTTATTAAAAAACATCATTTTTGTTTTATTCTTTTAATACTATTAATAATCTATACATCATTAATAATTCTATTATGATGATGTTTTTTTTTAAATTTATTCATTAATATTTAATAATGCTTTTTTCATTATAATTTTTGTCTTCATAATCTTTTAAAGTATTAATACTTAATTTTTAATAAAATTTTATATAATTAATTATTGTATTTGGTAAATAGTTTGTCATCTTTTCAATTAAATAATAATTACATTTAGATAATTAAAAACAATCAAATATTATTATAAGATTGTATTTTACAAGTTTTTTTTTAAAAAAAGAATCTTTAAATATTAAAAATAATTTTTTGTATTTTTTATTTATGCAAATGAATTTTTTATTATTGCAAGATAAGTTGGATTTACATACCATATATTATATAAGTTTATATAAAATATTATTATTAAATAAAAATTTAATATATTTATTTTTATTTATAAAAATCTTTTCTATTAAGATAAAAGTTAAATATGACATTGTTACTAAATTAAAAACTAAATTATAACTTTTTATATAAATACTAATTATGTAACCAAATAAACAATTATCTTTTTTATCTTTTCATTATTTTTTTTTATCTTTTTAATTTCATAATAAATAAGAAAATGCTTATTGATAAGAAATAACTTTTAATTAATCTTTATATTAGTTACATCAATCTAAGTGTTATTTCTTGTTATATTTTTTCTTATTATCTTTAGTTCTTTAATAGTTTTTATAAAAAAAATGTGTTTGAATATTATTGTCTTAAAGGTAGAATTAACTTTAAATAAATATTAATTTATATTACCAAATTTTTAAAATATAATAATTTCAAATCTATTACATTTAATGTAAAATATTGTAAAAGAATTTAAAAAACTGTACTGATTTATGAATTTTATTAAAAACTTTAAATTATTGAATAATAAAATTTAAAGTTCAATACAATTTTTTAAATTTTTTTATGATAGTTTATGTCAAGCATAATGCTTTTAAAATTATTGTATTATATTAAATTTTTAATGATATAATTCTTAATTCTATAATAATTTCTAATACTTCTCTTTATATCTTATTTTTTAGTTATAATTTAACTACAAAATAATCTTTTTTTCTTAATAATAATAATATAAAAATGAGTATATTTTTCATATAATCAATAAAATATAATTATTTAAAAGTTTATATTAATTATACTAAAGATTTGAACTTTTTATTTTTAGTTTAGTTTGAAACTTAGTACATAATTAAAAAAATATTTTCTTTTTATAATATATATGTTTATTTTGTGATAGGTTTCAAATTTCTTTTTATGATTCAATGTGATAAAATTAAATTTTAGCTAATAATAAAAATTTTGAATTTTATATTTATATAAACTGATCAGAATGCAGATAAAAAAATTTGTAGTAAAATTTCTAATCAAACTATTGGCAGATAATGAATAAAAGTGATGAAAATAATACAAAATCTACAAGTTTATATTTGCAAAGTTATACAATATAACAATATGAAATTTAATGTACTTTTTGTATCAACAAAAAACATTTACTTTTATAGAAATTTGTTATATACTACTAGATAAAAAGTAGTTTAAATTTGAAAATACCTATTAGATCATATAATTAAAATTTTACATATTTTCAAAATCAAAAATGCATAATAAATCACCTATTTTACTGTTTTATCTATCAACAAAAAAATTCTTTTCAATTTTTTTTATTCAATTAGTTACAAAATTTTATATATATTTTGATTTTTATATATTTAATAGATATGATTGTTATTATTTTTTAGTTGTTATATTATTTTTAAGTAATATATAGTCAAGTTTATTTACAAAACTAATTTGTGTTAATCTTGATTGTCTGTTTCCTAATATGATAATTATTAAAAGTATAATAAAAAATAAGTATTTATATCTTTAATTTACTACTTATTACTATATATTTGTTTTATAAATATATTATATATATATATAATAATATTTTGGTATAGTATTTTACTATATTATACTTGGACTGCTATGCAAGCTCTTGGGTTAAAGAATAAGCTTTACTTACTTAATACTTTTTATTAGTTTTTTACTGAGAGTAAGCTTTATTTACTTAATAGTATTTAATACTTCTGTTTTATTTTTATTAGTTTCTTTACTAAGACTAAGTTTAGTTATTTCAATAATTATCTAATACTTCTGTTTTATTTTTATTAATTTCTTTTAGTATTATAAATTCATAATATATTATTTCTTTATTTAAAGAGTACTTGATTATTAAAAAATATTTTTTAATTAAAAATACAAACTTATTTAAAAATTAATATATTTGATTATAATACTAAAAAACAATTTAAGTTTATATTAAACTCTTATTTGTTAAGAAGAAGACAACCTTTATTACAAAAAAACAAAGCAACTAAATATCAAAAAACAAAACAAAAGAAAAACTAGCTCTAAAAATAAAAATAAATTAAAAAATATCTTTATTTAAAAATATTTTGGTAAAAAAACAGTAATACAAAATAGAAAACTTATGTAATAAGATTTTAATAATGATAAAAATTATATTTGTTATTTTAACTCTAAAAAATATAAAATATTTTTTAAAAAAATTGAACAAAACAAAGAAGAAATAACTAAAGAATTAAAATATTGATCTTTAAAAAGTTATTATAAAAAGATAATAAAATTCAAATAAAAATATATAAAAAGAATGACTTTGATATAAAATTATATCAGAATATAATAAGAAATATTCTTATTAGAAAACAAAAAAACAAGATTTGAGATTGGATACAAGAATAAATAAATGATTCTGATAAATTAAATAA